TAAGTATATACTCTAACCCCGAAGAGAGTGACAAGGGGTCGACATTAACACTTACTAGTGGTCCAATAAATCAAATATAATACACTATACAAGTATGAAACACGGTAAGTAAACAGTGAGAACAAATATAAGCAAATAAAATGGTCTACAACTGAACAGTGAACATAAAGTCCGCAAATACCGGATATATCCTTAAATGTAATACGTAATGGTCAACATCAAATCAATGGTCACATCTCAAGTCAGGAAAACTCATAAGTGAACATACTCCTTATCAAGTATTTCTCACGAGTCTATCGAGGCGAGCAACCCGATTCCATAAGAGTAAAGGCACGAAATCCTGTCGTGGCATATGGCTCGATCCCATAATAGTACCGCTAAGGCATTCAGTCCAATCCTATAATAATCGTCTACACTAGCGAGGGTTGACCAGCACTAACCATAAATGCATCTTATAGTACTACCGAGGTGAACGGCCCAATCCCATAATGATATTGTTGAAGCGTCCAGCCCGATCCTATAAGAATAGTGAATAATTGATTGGGTCACTGGCCCCACTCATGAATATATGTGTGAGTTGTGAAATTTAAGAAAACTTTCAGACAAATACGTACAACATGAGAGAAATCTGTAACAGAAAGTGTAATCTCTACTGCTAATCAAGTAGCTAACCATATATCACTAATCGTAAGTCTGACACTTTACGCAAGTCTAATCTCATGCAAAATATATATTAAAGCAATTAAACATTCAGGGATAACTCAAATATTACAATTAAAGCATGTCGTGAGTTTAAGTCTACCCGAACCTAATCATGAATTCTTGCATACGCACAGACACTCGTCAGCTTATACGTGTGTAGTCCCCCCCCCCCCACACACACAACATGTAGCACATAGCAAATATAATGCCTACGGGGTATATTTCCTTCACAAAGTTAGACAAGAGACTTGCCTTGCTCAGAATTATGATAACTGGCTCCAATGCCTCTCTAACTTCTCAACCCAATGCCAAACGATCCGAAACTAGTCAAACAACGTGCAAACCAATAAAAATATACTCCAATACTCGTAATTTAATAATTTATAATAATTTCTTATTCCGCTCGAAAAGTCAACAAAGTCTACCCCTAGGCCCACATGCTCGAATTACCAAAAATTTTGAAGATAAATATCACTCATTACGCCACAAACTCAAATATATAATTTATTCCTAATTCCATATCCTACTTCGTGGTCAAAATCCAAAATTACGAATTCTAGGTTTTCTTCCAAAATTCTATAATTTCTATCAATTTTCATGTTAAACTCCATATATATTTGATGTATTAAACTTACAACAAGTGGGAATCACTTAGCTCATGATAGATGATGAAAATCTACCCTCAAAGAGCTCCAAAAATGGCCCAACCAAGTGAAAATGAGAGAAAAGTGAGCCAAGTCCCGTAATATCATTCTGCCCAGGCCTTTTCTCTTCGCGTTCGCGAACCCCCGGTCGCATTCTCTAAGGCCCATCAGCCCAATGCTTCGCGTTTGCGTTCAACCCAATGCATTCGCGATGGCCAACTTGCCCCCAGCCCAAAACTCCTCTTCTGTGTTCGCAGTTTCCTCTCCGCATTCGCGAAGGGAAAACTGCCAGCCCCGCACTTCTTCGCGTTTGCGACTACCTTGTCGCGTTCGTGCAGGGTAAATGTCCCTGGCCCAGCTCCTTCTCTGCGTTCAAGACTCCTTTGTCGCATTTGTGGAGCACAAAAAATAAGCCCACCAACTTCCTTCTTCGCGAAAGTGTACGTCCACTCGCGATCGCAAAGCACAGCACCGGCATCAGCAACCACCAGCAGCAAAACACCAAAACTTGGTCTGAAACCACCCTGAATCACACTCGAGGCCCCCCGGACCCCGTCCAATCATTCCAACAAGTCCCAACACCTTATCCAAACTCATTCAAAGTCTCAAAAAGTCATGAATAGCATCAAAACCATGAATCAACGATCAAATCCTTCTTTTGACTTTCAAATATTCAAACTTCATCGAACGCATCCAAATCATGCTTAAATGTTCCAAAATAACGCCAAAATTTACATGCAAGCTAGAAATCACAATACGAACCTATTCCAAGACTCGAAATCCCAAACATACATCGAATTGAGAATTATTCTTCCCGGTCAACTCTAAACTCCTTGAAAATCAAAATTAACTATACGTGAAAGTCATAATATATAAAGTGAAGCTACTCAAGGACTCAAACCCCTGAGCGATACACTAAAGCGCAAATGACCGATCGGGTCATTATAGAAATTATTTGGCAAAGTTCCGAGGAAAGTCTTTTGGAGATATTTGGAGGCTAGCGGTGTTCCTATTGCTTATACTACGATAATTAAGGACATGTATGAGGGGTCTAAGAACTGGGTGAGGACTATATGAGGGGACTCAAAACACTTCCCAGTTCTAATGAGGTTGCACCAAGGATTGGCTCCTAGCCCGTATTTATTTGCTTTGATAATGGGCGTACTTAAGCGTCACATTCAAGGGGAAGTGCCTTGGTGAATGTTATTTGCAGAAGATATTATCCTGATTGACGAGACAAGGGGCGATGTTAATGCGAGACTAGAGGTTTGGAGGCATACCTTAGAATCAAAAGGTTTCAGAATGAGCAGGACCAAAACATAGTACTTGGATTGCAAGTTTGGTGATGGGAGTCGTGATACAGACGTGATAGTGTCGTTTGACAACCAAGTTCTCCCCAAGAAAAGAAGTTTCACATACTTAGGATCAGTAATCCAAAGGAAAGTTGAGATTGACGAGGATGTCACAAATCAAATTGGAGTAAGATGGATGAAATTGAGGCTTACATCCCGTATTTTATTACAAGAATGTGCCGCATAGACTTAAAGATAAGTTTTATAAAGTAGTGGTTAGATCGACTATGTTATATAGGCAGAGTGTTGGCAAGTTAATAACTCCCATATCCAAAAGACGAAAGTACCCAAGATGATGATACTAAAGTGAATGTGCGGTCATTCCAGGAGAGATAAGATAAGGAATGAAGTTATTCATGACAAGGCGAGAGTGCCCCCATAAAGGACAAGATGTGTGATATGAGGTTAAGATGGTAGAGGCATGTGAAGAGCAGAGGCTTTGATACCCCCGTGATGAGATGTGAGAGATTGGCTGGTGGGCATGAGGAGAGGTAGAGGTACGCCTAAGAAGTATTGGGATGAGGTGATTAGGTAGGACATGATGCAAGTTCAACTTACTAAGAACATGACCCTAGATAGGAGGGTGTGGAGTGAGGATTAGGGTAGAATGTTAGGGGATAACTGAGTGTATTCCTTTGTCATCCCAATGGCAGTAGTATTAATCTTGTAGTCTTTTATCTTTTTTTTTATAGAGTTGTATTCTTATCTGTTATTTCTTTCGCTTCAGTTATTTTATAATATCGCTATTGTTTCTATACTGATGTTTCTGCTTGTTGCTACTACTCTTTTTTATTTTGTCCTTTAGCCGAGAGTCTTCAGAAATAGCCTCTCTATCTTTACGAGATAGGGGTAAGCTTGGCATATGCACTATTCTTCCCAGACCCCACTTATAAAACTATATTGGGTATGCTATTGTTGTTGTTGTTGACGATAATGTTTGAACTAAAGTATATTTCCTCATATTCTTTTTTAACTAAAGACAATTGCCCAAATATTTGTCACTTTAAGAAATTACTTTCTCTTTTCACATTTAGTGGCCCCCTTATTAATTCTTTAATCTTTGTCTATTTACGTGCGTCTTAATTCTAGAACATTTAGTACTAAGGTTAATTTAAAAATAATTACTATTTCTTTCTTGTTCCTGAAATGACAAGTATTTAGGAACTAGAATGCTGACAACTAAATAAAACGGAGGGAGCATAAGAAATTAATTGTTACCCTCTCCGGTCCATTTTAATTGATTTTTTGGTTCTTTTTTTGTGGTCCCCAATATTTATTTTTTTCAAATATCAAGAAGGAGTTAATTTCTTTTTTCCAAAGTATCCCTTGGAATAAAGAACCCAGGAGTATTTGTTATATTTTCAATAACAAATTAAGGTAATATTATTAATTAATGCTGAAAAGTAAATTCCTTAATATATGTAAAAATAGCAAAAAATCGATTAAAGTGGACCAAAGGGGATATTATTTTCAATTCTGTCCTTTAATGCTATAATGTCATTAATTACTCTTTTGAAGAAGAGACGAGCAATTTATACAAATACTCTATTTGTTCCATTTTATTTGTCCACCTTAGCAAATTAAGAGAAGAATAATTTTTTACTTCATGTTTTATTATTATCAGTAATTACCAATTCTCCAATTAATTTCCCGAAATCATTGAGACTATTTATCTTTATTATGAGTATTGATAAAATATATACTTCATTTATAATGTTTCTTAAGGGGAATGCATAGTTCACTATGGACAACTAAAAAGGAACATAAAGAGTACTTCTTATGACTAATGCAATTAATTTTATAGTTCTCTTAATAGGTATGTCTAAATCTTAACAAACGTATTAAAAGGACCACAAGGAATATCAACTTAGCATGGTTGGTAAAAAATGAGGTGACAATTTACATTAATTTAATTATCATTAAGTATTTACTAATATTCAAACACATGGAGTATCATGCATTTTGCTTTGATAAACACGGAGCTTGTAATTTTTCTTATCTCCAACTGGGGAACTGGGGAGTCAAAGGCGTACACCTTTGGACTGTTCAGACTTTCACATCCTAGTTCTTAGCCGCCTCATACCTCCAACAGTTAGGTTGAACGAAGTACTCAATTGAAAAGTGATATAAGTTCAATTAATCAGTAAACTTAAGTGATTGGCTAGTAAAAAAGTTAAAAAAAAGAATTCACATGAGAAACTTTTAGGTAGTTGCCAATAAAATATAGAAGCCGTGATAAACCTTCACTAAGAATTCTCGAAAATCAAATACACTTAGTCGTTTCCTTAAGATGCTTCCAAAACCAATTCACATTTCAGTTATGCAAAAAAGTTTTATTTTCATTTGCTCTATATAGATGAATATTGAACATGACTTTTGATTCTAAACTGGTGGGCAGGAAAAATTAACCTTGTCAATCAAAGGTATTGATTGGTATTCTTTTATGTGTCAGCTAAGTTAAGACACTAACCATTTCAATCAAAAATATGAGTCAGAATACATGAAAGGGCTAACTTCTTCATTCATTTGCTCCCATTTTCTCTTCGTCTTACTAACTTCCGTGGCATTAGACACGATCACTATAGATAAACCCATTAGAGATGGTGACACAATTGTTTCAGCTGGTGAGTTTTATGAACTTGGATTTTTAAGCCCTGGAAATTCCAAGGATCGCTATGTTGGGATATGGTACAAGAAGATATTACCTAAAACTGTCGTCTGGGTTGCCAATAGAAACATTCCCCTGAATGACACTTCAGGAGTGTTAACACTAAGACCCAATGGAATTCTTGTACTTATCAACAGTTCCAATGCTTCAATTTGGTCATCAAACTTGTCAAGATCCTTAAAGAATCCAAAAGCACGGCTCCTGGATTCTGGGAACCTTCTTATCAGTGATGGAAATGATAGGGACCCGGAAATTATTTTCACATGGCAGAGTTTTGATTTTCCAGGAAATACTTTATTGCCTGGCATGAAGCTTGGACGTAATTTGCTCACGGGCATGGATTGGTACACATCGTCATGGAAGAGTGCGGATGATCCTAGTCCGGGTGAATATGTAAACCGTCTTGATTCTAATGGATACCCACGATTACTCGTGTTGAAAAATTCATCTATAGTGTATAGCTCAGGGCCATGGAATGGTATTGCATTTAGTGGTAGTCCGAATAATAAACCAAATACATATTATACTTTCGAGTTTGTTGTTAATCAACACGAAATTTATTACAAATATGAGATTAGGAATGTGTCCCTGCCCACCAGGGTGGTGATCAACTCGGCTGGGGTGTTAGAACATCTAACATGGATTGAGCGCAGTCAGAGCTGGTTTCTCTACTTGACAGCACAATTTGACAACTGTGATAGTTTTGCTTTATGTGGTCCTTATGCAAGTTGCAACATCAATAACTCTCCTCCATGTGAGTGTCTGAGTGGTTTCAAGCCTAGGTATTTGTTAAACTGTGTGGCTGTCTTATTTTACTTTTATTTACTTAAATATGTCTTTATAAGCCTCCTCGTGTACGGCTTAATACTTTTTCTTTAGCCAAGCACGCTAATTTTTTTAATTACTTAATGTCTTCACAGGTATCCTCAACAGTATGCAGCAGACTGGTCTAGTGGTTGTGTAAGGAGAACTTCTTTGCATTGTAACCAAGATGGTTTTTTTATATTTACGGGTATCAAGATGCCGGATTCTAGACACTCATGGTATAATGAGAGCATGAACCTTGAAGAATGCAAGAAATTGTGCTTGGCTGACTGCAATTGTACAGCTTACTCGAATCTTGACATTAGAAATGGCGGAAGTGGATGCTTACAATGGTTTGGTGAACTCATTGATATTAGAGAGTTCAGCCAAAATGAGCAGGACCTGTTCGTAAGAGTAGCTGCTTCAGAATTAGGTAATGACCCTACCCTATACAATATAAATGCACAACTCGTAAGAATTGAAGGAAATCTGCTATCTTATTTACTTAGTTGTTGGACATTAAAGTGTATTAGGTGCTGCAGTGGTTGGTAATATGTCTATCGCATTGTAAAGGATAAGAAATATTTATCCACCTATGACAAGGTCTCCCTCTGGTTTTGCTAAACCTAAGCTGAAATATCGGGAAAAAATTGTTTAAGGATTAATCAACCATTAAATGGCTGCACATCTGCAACATGTTCCCTTATCCTCATTCCTGTGGCACTAGAATGGAAGTAGCTTGCTACAAAGAGCATTTGAATAATTGCAAATGTTGCAATTATTACACTTATGCAATTCACTATTGCATACCGCTTATGGACTAATTATTTACCAGATTGATAAGTTATGTGAGTATGGTTTTGATTACTTGTCAAACTTTGTTGCGGAACTAGATAGGAACCTGATACAAATTAGTTCCTTGCGCCTGGTGGACATACTAAGTTGTTTGGTCGAACTCGCCAGAAACCAGAAAAGGGCTTAACTGTCGTACAGTCAACTCTACAGTTGTAAAAGTTGTTTCACTCTACCGACTAGCAGCAGTGCAGCGGCACAGCCGCTGCTGCTAGAGGCCAAACCAAAATCTGAAATGTCTCTATCTCTTCACATATGCTCTCTCATATATAAACATCATTATAAAAGGGTTGACCTAACAGAATCTGAAAAATCCTATCGTTCAAGTGCTAGCCGCCACAGTTTCCTCCAGGTGCACTCAAGAACAAAGTTGCTACAAACCAAGGACCAGATCCCAACACTAAAAATGTCTTGAGTCCTTAAGTTTGTTGCGTCTTTGTCTTGTGTTCTTTACTTGTATCCCTATACAACTTTTTAGAAGTATTTTGTAGGACAACTTTTAACCATTATTGTTTTAGTTGTTTGACTAGAGTTAGTCAAGAGTGTGCTTTGTAATAGAGTTTAATGCAAATGGCTAATAATAGAGTTATTGTAAGAGGTGAGGGATTAAGAATTTAATTCCTAAATTGCAATAGGTTGTAATTTGAAGTTTGCTCAGTTTTAGTGGAGTTGAAATCCTATTAGTGTAGGTCGTGGTTTTAATCCTTGAGCAGAGAGTTTTCCGCGTAAATATCGTTTGTTCTTTATTTACTACCTATTTACTGTGGGAACTGACAGAGAACCTGGTTTTCTATACTGTTTGGTGGACCCTTAGTTTCTATCACAGATTCAGACAGGAAGCGAAGGAGAAAGAGGACCACCCTGATTGCTGTCATTTCAGTAGTAGTAGCAACATTTATCCTCAGCTTTTTAGCTTGGTTTTCCTTCCAAAGAAGGAAAAGAAGAACAGGTAAATATACTACTCTTGTCTAACAGCTTTATTAGAAAATTCTTAACTCTGAATGCTGTGTTATCTAGGTGAATTATCTGTCATTATTGTCCTGTTTGTGACGAGCAACTAAATATTGACAGGTTCAGAAAATGGAGATGAGGACATGGAGTTGCCATTGTTTGATTTAGTTACTGTTACTAGTGCCACTAAAAACTTCTCTTCTGCTAATGTGATTGGTGAGGGCGGTTTTGGACCGGTTTACAAGGTAAATCACCTTTGATCTTGAGCTTCTAGATAGAAGTGGTATCTTTGACCCTTGATAGAAAATTGCAGGGTATTCTACCAAATGGACAAGAGATAGCAGTAAAGAGGCTATCAAAGTATTCTGGACAAGGCCTTCAAGAGTTAAAGAACGAAATCGTTCTCATTTCCAAGCTGCAACACAGGAACCTTGTCAAGCTTTTGGGTTGCTGCCTTGAAGAAGAAGAAAGGATGCTAATCTATGAATTTATGCCAAACACTAGCTTGGACTATTTCATTTTTGGTCTGCTTCTCATTGATTCATTAGCTAAATACTGCTCCTATTTGGTAAGTCCTCAATATCTCTGCAGCATCAGTGATTAGATCTACAATGTGCAGATCCAAGCAGAAATACCTCACTTGCATGGGAGAACCGCTTTGAAATTGCAATGGGAATATCTCGAGGTCTTCTTTATCTTCACCAGGACTCAAGATTAAGAATTATTCACAGGGATCTCAAAACCAGCAACATTTTATTAGATAGTGGCATGAATGCCAAAATTTCTGATTTCGGCCTTGCCAAAATTTTGGGCGGAGACCAAGTGGAAGGAAAAACTAAGAGAGTAATAGGGACATAGTAAGTTTTACATATGCTTTACCATAGAATCTTTATTATATTCAACAATACATGAACTTAAATTGGATGAGTTGATGCAGTGGATATATGTCCCCAGAATATGCTGTTGATGGGAAATATTCAGTAAAATCAGATGTATTCAGTTTCGGCGTAATCATTCTAGAAATAATTAGTGGCAGAAGGAACAGGAAATTTCATCATTTGGAACATCATCACAATCTTTTGGGACATGTAAGCAGATACAGCACAAAACTTTGTTTCGTTAGTCACTCTTTCAATTGTGAATGCAACTGTATAAATGTGTTTTGTTTGTTACTTTAGGCGTGGTTACTTTGGAATGAAGGCAAAGCGTTGGAACTGATGGACGGATGTTTGGAAGAATCATTTTCAGAATCTCAAGTGTTTAGATGCATTCAAGTTGGTTTATTGTGCGTCCAAAAACTCCCAGAGGATAGGCCTACAATGGCATCAGTAGTTTTCTGGTTGGGAAATGAAGATATGGTTCTTCCTCAACCAAAGCAGCCTGGTTTTTTTATAGAGAGGAATTCAATGGAATCAACAGAGTCAGCTGATGAAGGATGTCTAACTTACACCGGGTCATTAACTGTTCTAGAGCCAAGATAGACATAAAATCCCTGTTGGAACTTTTGAAATGTGTCAACTTTGCCTTGTTTGTCAACAGTACTAGTGTATATTACACTATATATAAGACGAATAGAGGACAATGGTCGAGTATTTATGCTTGTCATTGACATGCATTCTGTTGGGAGTTGGGACCCTGAGAAGAAATCTTCTTAATAATTTGTGAATCAGGGCCTATTTTACTCCCTTTTCTATTACGCTCACAAATGCTGCTAAGTCTTAAGTCTAAGGCATCTTTATTGGCGACAATACATTTTCGTTTTAGCGACAATAGTAGCTAGACACATTTTAACACCCGAGCAAGCAACACAGCCTGTAATACAACCACACAAAAAAGCTTTTGCAGAAAGCAGCAATATTCATCAAGCAAAGAACAACACAAAACGAGACATACGAAAGTTTTTCAATCCGCATAAGATTCATAATAATCAAATCAATATTTTCAAATCAGATACATACGTTTTTTCTTTTAATAATAGAATCAATATCTGGGAAAGTGCACAAAAATTCACATGATATTCAACAGGAGACATACGAAATCCCAATCGAAATCACGAAGAAGAAAAATCATGAATAGCAAATGGATTTTCACAATTTTTACGCACCTCGGCTACTGATTCTGAGAAGGAAATTTTCTGATCGGGATCTAAAGTGGTGGAAATATGTCTATCGTCTTCAGTTTGTAGATTATAGGAAGAATATACGAAAAAATACAGAGAAAATATGTCTTCAGAACGTCTTTAGATGTAGATTATACGAAGCATAAAACAAAAAGAAAAGTAGAGGAAATATATCGTAGATAGAGAGAGATTTAACATGGAAGGAGAGCGCTTCAAATCTTAGGCTATAGACTATAGAGGGAGAGATCTTCAAAACTAGGCTATTGAGAGAGAAAGGTATGAATTGGAGGGAAATGAGCAGGAGCTGGGAAAACTGCGGGAATTTGAGAGAGAGAGAAAATTTGGAGTGATGCTAAAACGTTAATGTTAGTTTTCAGATTAGTAAGTAACTAGTTGGTACTTAATTTTTATCGGCTCTTTTTGCCCCTAAATATCCTTTTTAGTTTTACCACCTAAAGTTTAAAAGGAAAAGGATCAAATATATCTCTCTACTTTCGGATATTTTCTACATTTAATCTTTATTGTACTATTCATTCAAATGTATTTCTACCGTTATAATATTCCTGCCAAATTTACGTCTACCATCAACAAACTTTTAAAAATTAGTAATTCAAAATGTAAAATAAAAATATTATTTGGCAATTATATTATTGCCCACTCTGTAATTATATTATTGCCGTTAAATAATCGTCACTAAAACTCTTTTTTGGTGTAGCGATCACTACTAAAAAATAATGTAATTCCGTCCGCTGTTTCCGACTGAAATCGATCGAAAATTAATAATTTCGGACCGAATTCCGACCGATTTTAATTGGTCGTAAAAGCGATAGTCGCAAACGTGTACCGACCGAAGTCGGTTAGAAATTACAAAGCGTTGACTGACTGTCAAACTTTTATTTCCGACCGAAATCGGTCGGAAACTATTAATGCACTTATACTTAGTGTAATGTCAATCTATAAGCTAATTACTATAAGCGACAGAAAAGAAGTCCATCGGTACTGCTGCGTCGGTAAACAACTATTTTTTAGCAGTGTATATAGTATATAAGCTAGATTCATATAT